ATGCTAGTAATAATAACTCTGTTTCAATTAATTTCCTAAATGTGTAGGGGAGAATTGCCAGAAAAATAAGATCTAAGTATTAAGAGAAACTGGGATGTGAAGGTGACCCTTTGCAAAATTTGAATTTTGGACCCCAGATATTTTTCCGAGTCCTCTTTTGACTAAGGTGTTTTATTTGCTCATTTGTGCATTTTTTTTTTTTTTGCTACACAATCGTTATAATCCTTCCAACAGTGTATATATTATTAACTTCACCACCTATAAATGGAACAGGGTAGTGCATGCATTAATTTATACTTCAATGTAAAAGTCTGTGTCAGTTTTAGATGTTCCAGTGTCACTAGGTATTATTATCTTCCAGAGCTATAGGGTATTGTGTGGATATACCACACTTCGCACATCCCTTCACCTGTATGTTGACTTCTGGGTGGCTTCCCATTTTTAACTGTGGTGTATCAGAGCATCTGTAGATGATCATATATTGGTATTCTTTTCATGTGTAACTAATAATCTTCTTTGGTTCCAACAAAAACATGATTTTATCAAATCTTTGACGGAAACATAAGAGTTACCCCTTCCTGATTCATGTTACTACCACCGCCCGGTTAATCACCCTTAAAATGCCAATTTGCTTGGGACATCTTTGATGTCCCCACCACCCGGTGACTCAGTAACTTTTTCAGATAGTAGAGTATTTTTCTTCTCTTTGCTCTGTATAATTTTTGTCCCCATGACTAATTCCCTTATCTCCAGAAGGTGCCTTTGCCATGTGCTTTAGGAGACTTCATGTTATGGGGCCAAAATGAAGTTGCTAGGCAAGTTAAATGCTACCAACATCCAAGTCTTCAAAGTCTCTCAGTTGGTTAGGCCTGCAACTTCGACTCAGGTCCTGTTCTCATGGTCCATAAGTTGGAGTTCTGCATCGGGCTCAGCATCAAGTTCCGGGCTGACGGTGCGGAGCCTGCTTGGAATTCTCTCTCACTCTCTCTCTCCCCTCCCCTTCCAGGTGTGCTCTCTCAAAATAAATAAATAAGTAAACCTAAAAAAAAAAAAGTCATACTCTCTGCCTCCCTAAAGTATAATTTAGGAATGTGTCTGGCTACATATAATAGAAAACTCATCCAAGGGCACTTTAAACATAAGGGTGTGTTTTTCTCACACTATGCCAAGTTCAGACATTGATGGCTGGCACAGTTCAGCTGATCTGCAATGTCCACTCAGCAAAATTACTATCTCCACGTAAATCTTTTAAATATTATGATCACAGGGTGGGCCGCGATAGATACAGACACCAGGTCCACGTTCAGAGCAAGAAGCAGAAAAGGCAGCTAGGCCACCTCCCTTTGTTTCTTTCTTAGGAAAGCAGAGGATGTACATGAAATCTAGCAACTGCCACTTACATCTCATTGCCAAGAACTGTTTCACTTGACCACATCTAACTGTGATTCTGGGAGGTGAGTATTCATCTCTGACACACTACCGTGGAAGTGAACAAGGAATGAGGGGGGTGGGATTGGGTGTGGTTCAGCTAATCTACAGGATCTGCCAGATGCTGAGAGTCTCCAAGTGTAATTCCAAAGCCAGTATATGAGGCTCGAGCCTCATCTTATCTTCTATTTTATCGAACAGGATTCTTACTCCAGTTGGGATGCTTCACTGTTCTTCAGATGCTGCATTAGTGTCCTTGCTTCTGCAGCCTGTGTCTGATCCCTCTCCTTGATATCCTTTCTCATGCATCACCACTTATCATTGCTTCTTCAAGTCCTGCTTGCTACATGAAATCTCCACTGGACTCTGTCACACTGATTTATATGTATCTATCCGTCTTTCTATCTATCTATCTATCTATCTATCATTTCAAAAAAAAATTTTTAATGTTTATTTTTGAGACAGACAGAGAGAGAGAGAGAGAGAGAGGGAGAGAGCGGGGAAGGGGCAGAGAGAAAGGGATACACAGAATCCTAAGCATCTGTCAGCTTAGAGGCAGACGCAGGCCTTGAACTCATGAACCGCGAGATCATGACCTGAGCTGAGGTCGGATGCTTAACCGACTGAGCCCCCCAGGCGCTCCTATCTATCATTTTTTAATTTTTATTTATTTTTTAGAGACAGAGAGGGACAGAGCATAGCTGGGGGGGGGGAGGGGCAGAGAGAGGGGGAGACACAGAATCTGAAGCAGGCTCCAGGCTCCAAGCTGTTAGCACAGAGCCCAACGTGGGGTCCAGGCCACGAACCATGACATCATGACCTGAGCTGAAGTCAGAAGTTTAACCAACTGAGCCATCCAGGCACCCCTGATTTTTATCTTTTTAAAATGTACCAGTAGGGCATCATATTAAATTAGTGATATTTACATAGCTTCTCAATTTTAGAATGTGAATAATATCTGTATGATTTATAGAAAAAAAGAGAGATGAATTTGAAAATGAGCATTTCATCATTTGGAACAGGAAGTGCACAGGACTCTTGGAAGTTCCTACTTTTGAAATAAGCCGTACAGAGAAAGACAGATACCATATGTGTTCACTCTTATGTGGATCCTGAGAAACTTAACAGGAACCCATGGGGGAGGGGAAGGAAAAAAAAAAAGAGAGGTTAGAGTGGGAGAGAGCCAAAGCATAAGAGACTCTTAAAAACTGAGAACCAACTGAGGGTTGATGGGGGGTGGGAGAGAGGGAAGGGTGGGTGATGGGTACTGATGAGGGCATTTTTTGGGAAGAGCACTGGGTGTTGTATGGAAACCAATTTGAGAATAAAGTTCATATATTAAAAAAAAACACTTATGACTATTTAAAAAAAAAAAAGAAGTTCCTACTTTCTACAGGAAGTCATGATCGTTACCTCCTAACAATATTTAAATCGATTTCCAAGGGACCTAGTAGGAAAGAGAATGAAGGTGCTTGCATAAAAATTCTTATCCTATAATTCAGTGACTCTTGGTCATATAGAGGCTGAATTAATATGAAGATTTCCTGGATCTTTTCCTAAATGTAATGATCCATATTAGCCTTTAGGCCCTAAATCTTTATTTACATAAGGGTGTCAGGTGATTTTGAACCAGTCCTCTGCTCACATTTTGAAAGTCACCACCACAGAGAAGGTGGAACCATTAGAAAAGCCACAACCAATGGGAGAAAATGAGAACTACAGCCTTGTGATTGGAAGGCATAAGCATTAGCTATGACCGTCTGGAACTCTTTGTCAGGACAGTCCAATCATTGCAAAATAAGATCAGTTTGAGAAACAAAGAAGGAACTGTGGACTCAAAAATAATTTTTCTTTGGCCATTATGTGTAGTAAAATATATAATTCTCACAATAGAGTGAGAATTCAGTCATTTTTATTTTGTTTCAGAACATATTTATCAAATACATTTACCAAATTTCAAAAGGTGAATGTGGCGTTTCCTCTCAAGCACTATGGCAGAATGGATGTTCAGAGAAACTGTTCTACTACAGTGTTCCTAAAAATGCTGAACACAGGTATAAACAGACAAACCCCCCAAAACAAAAGCATAGGTGAGGAGGGCAGGAAACCAAGAGAATTCCTTACAGAACAGAAATGATAAGAAAGTACACATTCTAACAGTTTTCTAAACATTGAGTTCAGAGGTCTAAAGCAGCATAGTGACTACAGTTAACAATACTGCAGTGTCTACTTGAAATGTGCTGAGAGTAAATCTCAAGTGTTCTCACAACACACACACACACACACACACACACACACACACACAAATGGTACCTAGACGGGGTGATGGATATGTTAACTAGCTTGACTCTGCGGTCATTTCATAATGTATACATGTATCAAAACATCAAATTTTATATCTTAAATATATACAATTTCTATTTATCAATTACATACCAGGAAGCTGAAAAAGAAAAACAGAAGAAAGTAGCATTAGCCTTGAAGAGACCTGTCAAACATTGGTGGCTTCATTGGGCTGCACAAATAAGACAGAGTACCAAGGCTGGGGTGTAAGTAGGTTAGGATGGGGAATCAGGGATTTGCAAACAAAGCTGGGGTCCCCAGAAGGATACGTAATCATGTTGTTAAGTAGGAGAAAATCTGTTCTAGAGAGGAAGGTAGTATGAGTGTTTACATGTCTCAGTAATGGAGTAGTCAGAAATGGAAATAACCCCTGAGAATTCCCAACCATACGCATATTTGGAGTCAAATCTCATAACCCCTATATGGCTGGAACAAACTCAAGCTAGATTGCTTAGTGTTCCTGGCTTAGTCTGTTTAGGCTGCTATAACAAAATACCACTAAGTATTTCTCACAGCTGTGGAGGCTAGGAAGACAGTCCAAGGTCAAGGTGTCAGCAGGGTCACCTTTTGATGAGGATTGTCTTTTTGGTTCATAGCCAGAGTCATCTTGCTAAATCCTCATATGAAGGATGGATCTTTCTAGAGCCTCTCTTATAGGGCACTAATCCCATTTATTAAGGATCTACCCTCACGGCTTAAGCAACTCACAAAGGCCTCACCTACTAAGACTGATAGAATTGGCATTAGGATTTCAACATGTGAATTTGGGTGGGGGGAGGGTGGGATGGGGACACAAATATTCAAACCACAGCATCCTGCCCCTGGCCTCTCAAAATTCATGTCCTTTTCACATGTAAAATACGTTCATTCCATCTGGATAGCGCCCCAAATCTTAACTGGTTCCAGGATCAACTTAAAAGTCTTCATCCAGTCTCATCCACATATCATCGAAAGCAAGTATGAGGGAGACTCAAGATACTATCCATCCTAAGACAAATTGCCTGGATGCCTGAAACCCGTTATATACCACGTATTTTCCTATACATACGTGCCTAAGATAAAGTTGAAATTTTTTTAATGTTTTTATTTTTGAGAGAGAGAGAGAGAGACGTAATGCCAGTGGGGGAGGGGCAGAGAGACCCAAGATAAAGTTTAGTTTAAAAATTAACCCCAGTAAGATATTAATGATGTTAGTAAAATTGTACAATAAATTATTGTACTGTACTCACCCTCCCTCTTGCGATGCCTTGAGATGATGAAATGCAGAATGAAGAGATGAAGTGAAGTGAATGACACATTGTGCCGTAGCGTTAGGAGACTCTTGATCTTCTGATCATTTATTTGTCAGAAGGAGGAGCACTGTTTCCAGGTGCATACAGCTCTGAAACGGTGGAGCAAAGTGGAGACAGCAAAGCCACTCAGAAGGGGGATGGCAGCAACAGGTCTAAAGGGAGACCAAAACCTAACGAGGCAAACAACGCTAAAACCCCTTGGCTCCGTGCCCCACATTGCAGCTGAGCCCCCAGAATTGCAGTTGGCTGGAATCTCAGGCCAACAGATCTACCAATGTGGGTAGGGTTCATGGGGACCGTGCCCTGCACCCATGGCCTCGGTGGGCAATACCCCACCGGGGGCTCTGCAATAGTCTTGCCCCCAAAGCAGGTCTCTGCCTGGGTGGAGGCTCTCAAGGACACTTTGAAATCCAGGTGGAGGCAGTTGTACCTTCAGGGCTCTTGGGCTCCACAGGGTGGTGGAGAAGGTGCCCCCTGGAGGTGCAGCCACATCGTGGGTGTCGAACCCGGGGCAGTTGAGGATTTTTGCGCCACAATTGAAATTCTGGAGCTGAACCCAGGACGTGAGGTGGCCCTGGACAGTAGAGGTTCTTCCTTTGCCTTTTTTTTTTCCCCCCTGCGGGTGCCTTCTACTCTTCTCTACAGATGGGTAGTGTGAGGGCCAGCCCAGAAGATCTCTGAAATGCCTTCAGGGTCATGCTTTCATTGCCTTAGAAAGTAGGTTTTGGCTTGTTTAGATCAACATCTAAACCAATCTCCTCACCATTTTGATGAATAACTCCTAGTTTCCATTGATATGATGGATGTACACCAATCTCTATCCAACTTGGCCACAACCCTTGTGTTCTCTGATGAGCGTGGTTTCTTCTTCTGGATAGGCTGAGAATTTTCCAAATATTTAAGTGTTGTTTCCTTTTTGATTAACCACTCTGTCTCCAAATCATTTCTTGCTTCTTAAATTTGACTGTAAACATTCAAAAGAAGCCAAGCTGTTCCTTCAACACTTTGCTTGGAAGTAGTTTCAGCCAGATATCCAATTTCATCGCTCACAGTTCTACCTTTCCCCAAACACGAGGACATGGCACAATTCAGCCAAGCTCCTTGTCACTTGATAACAAGGATCATCTTTCTTCCAGGTGCCAATAACATGTTCCTTCCTGCCATCTGAGACCTCATCAAAATAGCCCTTACCATTACTATTTCCCCCCAACATCTTTTTCATGAGCACTTAGATATTCTCTTATAGATTGAGGCTTTCTCTACAGCTCTCCTTTTCTGAGCCCTCCCCAGCTTTACCTTTAAGAGTTCATTCAAAGCAGCATAGGCTTTTCCAAACATGCCTCTTCAGGCGCTGCCCATAATAGAGCGCCAAAGCCACTTGTACATTTTTAGGTATTTGTGATAGCAGCAACCACACTCTTGGCACCAATTTTCTTAGTCTGTCCAAGCTGCTATAGCAAAATACCCCAGACTGGGGGACTTCTAATAAACAGCAGAAATTTATGACTCACAGTTCTGGAAGCTGGAGGTCTGAGATCAGGGCGCTGGCATGGGTGGGTGAAGGCCATCTTCCAGGTCACAGACTTACCATTGTATCTTCACATGGCACCAGGAGGCAAGGTATCTCTTTGGAGCCTCTTTAATAAGGCACTAATCCCAATTATGAAGGCTCTACCCTCCAGACTTAAACACCTTCCAAACCAAAGGCCCCATCTACTAATCCCAACACCTTTGGGGGTTAAAACTTCAGCATACAAATTTGGGGGGGATATACTCAGGCCATAGAAGTTCTCCCCCCCTCCCCCCCAAAAAAAGTTGATTGTCACCTAGGTAAAGCAAGGACAAACTTAATCTGGAAGAAAGGAATTTAAATGCAGCCTCAAACGACTCCTACAGTTAATATTTCAAGGAACACAAGCCACAATAAAAAAAAAAAACAAACAAACCCACAAGCATGAGAGAGTCAGGAGAAACTCCACCCTTGTTGCCTGTGCCAGGCTGACTTGTAAGGACCATGTCCCATGCCCTCTGCTTTTAGCTGGAGCCAGTCAGGGTGGAGACTTGACAGAAGATGGTGGAGGTGGGGGAAGAAGAAAGATGGAAAGATAGTTAATCATCTGATTTCTCTCTGCACAGTGACTCATTCCAGTTTTATTCTTCCACAGAAAGTCACTGCTTATCACAAGGCAGACTGCAATATACAGATGTCTCTCCAAGGGTTGGAACCTCCCCCCATCTCCTTCTTCCTTAGGACCTAGGATGTTAACAGGTTTGCTACTGCTTAGATTTGGTTGCTGCGTGTACCCTGGTCTGCCTTCATCTGTCCAGCTTTCAAATAGACACTTTATATACAGCCTCATTCTCTTTGAATTTTTCTAATTTGAGTGGGCCATTTATTTCTTGTTTTCCATGGAACAGAGAACTGGAAGATAGAAACAAGCTGATATGGGTATAATCTTAATTCCATGAGTCAATGACGAGAGAAAAATGATGGAAAATATATAATATGTAAAAACACAAACATAAAAACTGATGAATATCCAGTACTTATTAAAGATACTAAGCCGGGGCGCCTGGATGGCTCAGTCGGTTAAGCGTCCGACTTCAACTCAGGTCACGATCTCGCGGTCCGTGAGTTTGAGCCCCGCATCGGGCTCTGGGCTGACTGCTTGCTCAGAGCCTGGAGCCTGCTTCAGATTCTGTGTCTCCCTCCCTCTCTGCCCCTCCCCCGTTCATGCTCTGTCTCTCTCTGGCTCAAAAATAAATAAACGTTAAAAAAATTAAAAAAAAAAAAGATACTAAGCCTTGGATATGGGAAGAAAAATGTACACCAAATAAACATAAATTCCATCTATGTAAAACAGATACTGCAGAAAAAGAATTAAAGATCTCGAAAGCTGTCAGAATGAAAAGTGGGTGACACGTAAATGAGTGGTAGTTAAACCGATGCCTTTTCAATAGCAAACAAAGAAGCCAGAGGCTGTAGAATAATAGATTTAAAAGATTGAGGGAAAATATCAATCTAGAATTATAGACTTGGGAAAAATGTTTCAATGAATGAGGGTAAAATAAAGACAGTTCCAGATAAATACAAACTGAGAAAGTTTATGACCAAGAGACTCTACTGAAGGATTTTTTTTAACAAATGTGGTCTGGGAAGGAGACAAATGATCCCCTGAAGGAAGTTCTGGGAAGAAAGAAAAATGCCAAGCTCTGAAAATGGTAGACCTGTGGGTAAGCCTAAAGAAACAACTATATAAATCGATAATAACACCTTTAATTGGTGGAGTTGAAAAGAGGGATTTTAAATCTTGAATAGCATGAGGTATCATTTGGAGGGTATATATTGCGGCATACCGAGTAAACCTCCACTTGTTTGTTGTAAGAATTGCCGTGGGTGGTTATGAGTGTGTACACTAAGGCTCAGCTTGTATTTCCATAGTAGAGATTTACAGCAATTGCCTGGGAGTAATTCAGGGGGAAAAAAAAAAACATCTCTGGCAATTTGCTGCATCCAGAGAAGTGCTTGGCATGTTGCTGACTTTCCTCTTTTAGCCCCCTAAAGCAAATTGCAACCATATCTTGCCTTCAGACGAGAAAGTGCAAGCCCCTAATGGGCCGAGATACTGAGGAGGTACCTTACCCTGACTACTTGGGAGGGGTCTCCAGAGGAGCTTCTCTTCCCAATTATACATCCTTTCTTTCCAGAGAGGCAGCTGGAAGGTGAGGTAACTTATAAATTGGAGAAAAGGTTCATGTGGGAATGGCCAGCCTGATGATCACTAAGGATGGAATTACCAGCCGGACCAAGCATTCCCTTACACCACTTCAGGGTTTTCTTTAATTACAGATCTCTCTTTATGTTTTATGCAGTTCTGTACCACAGCAGACTACATGTAATGGACAAAAAAAAAAAAAAAAAAAAAGTCACGGAATCTACTTTTTTATTTGCTGCTTTGGTTGTGGCCCACTCTGGAAAGTACAACGGATTCTGTTCCTTTGCAATCCTGGGCCAGTCCAGGGAGTCAATTTGGTTTCATTTTGGCTTGAATGCTTCCTATGGACAGGGTCTGATTTCTTCCAATAACCGTTTTGGCTCCTGCCCAAGAACTGGCTGGCTCTTCACTTACCTTGTTATTTCTTAATGCTCTATTAAGCCCCAAATTCAAAGCCCAGACTTTTACTTTCTGTCCTACAGAAATAACTGACTTTGGGCCCCCTGTTTCAAGGGCAATATAAGCAGTTTAATAACCTAGAAAGGTTTTCATCATCTCTTTCACTCAACATTTTACCATTACCCATGGGATACAGAAAATAAAGAGACCGCTTTTCACATTGATTTGCTTTGCTCAGAGCAGGATTTTCAGTCTTTGGTCTCACTTCAGAGACAAGTATAGGTCCTGATGCATCCAATTGCATCCAGGAAAACTAAGAGCTCTCAGTTAACCTCATGAGAAGTTCCAGAGGTATTGTGGCACTTTGGGGGACTCAGGTTAATCTACTAAATACAATCTTTCAGGCTGCCTATCCGCTGCTTATCAGCATCAGGCTCTGACATGAAAAGAATTTGGCCTCTAAAAATACTAATTTGTATTTCTCAAAGGCACTTGACTCTAAGACCTGAAATCTTTGCAAAGCAGGATTTCTATCGAACAATGCAGAGGAAAAATAACTTTCCTAATACAAGTTTCCAAAACCAATGCAGCATTGAGGTTGAGGGCTCTCAAGGTCCTTCATTTTTGGAATTAACAAATTAAACAAATTTCTATGGAGAAGATAAAATATGGATAAGGGCTCAGATGCCCTCCAGCTGGCATGGAGGAAATTCTTTTTCAGCTTTGTTGATGTCACAGTTATCCTTTTAATTAGTGAAATTCAGTTCATAGATCTCTATTTTGTGAGTTCACTTAGATTTCTATATTCCACATAAGGCACTGAAGGAATTCTATATTTTGTAAACCTGAAATATCTGCCCATACAGGCAACAAATGTTCCTTTTTATTTGCAAATAGAGAGATCCAGATTTGTTTAAAAAGCAAAGTTGTTACATTTTTAAACACATTTTCTAGTTTGGAAATACCTTTCCTCCGGACAGCAAAGTACACAAAAAATATACATGTACAGTTTAATAAATTCTCATGAAGTGAAAAGCTATGTAACCACTACCCGAGTCAAAATAGAATGTTGACAACAGTCTAGAAGCACTTCCCAAATATTAAACCCCTTTTCTTTCTAAATGTAGTCACCAACTTGACTTCTAAAATGACAGTTTAGTTTCCCCTGCCTTGGAAATATATTTAATTGGAGTTATTATGCATATATATATGTGTATATAGATATGTATATTTCTGTTGGTATTATACCTAGAAGAAGATTGTAGGATTTTTGAGTTCCATGTCTGTTCAGACTTGCAGTGAATAAAATGCTCTTTTTATTTACTTATTTAAAATATTTTTTAAATGTTTATTTATTTTTGAGAGAGGGAGAGACAGAGTGTGACTGGGGGAGGGTAGAGGGAGAGGGAGACACAGAATCCGAAGCAGGCTCCAGGCTTCGCGTTGTCAGCACAGAGGCAGACGCGGGGCTCAAACTCACAAACCGTGAGATCATGACCTGAGCCAAAGTCAGAGGCTTAACTGACTGAGCCACCCAGGCGCCCCTAAAATGCTCTTTTTAAATGGCTGCACCCAGTCAGTCTCCTGCAAGGAGCATTGATTCCATCTCTTCATGCTGTTAGTGATTGGTGATGTCGTTCTTTTCAGTTTTAGCCATGCTGGTGCATATGTAGTGATGTCTCATGGAAACTGGAATTGGAATTTTCCGGATGAGTATAAAGTTTGAGCACATTTTCAGTTGTGAGTCTCTTCTTTGTCCCTCTTGCGTATTTCGTATCGTGATGGCTATCCATTTTCTTATCGATTTACATGAGTTTTTTTTTTTAAACATACTTCATTTGAGGCTTTTCTTGGTTATTTGTGTAGCATGATGCATTTTGTACGATATATATTGATGAACGGATATTCTTAATTTTAATGTGGTTCATGTCTCGGATTTCTTCCTTTAAGGATAATGCTTTTTGTATATATATTTTAAAATGTCTCCCTATATCAAGGCAATGGAGATAGTTTCCTGTATTATCTTCTGGAAGTTTTATTGTACTGCTTTTCTTACTGAGAGCTACAGTTCATCCGGAGTTACTTTTTGTAAGATTTGATGTGCGAGTTTTGTTTTTTTCACATGGATATACAGATTACAGAAGTCCCCAGGTTTCCTCTCAAGATTCTCAGACATTGACACCACATATCCATCCTCTGTTATTTCTTCTGCATTAAAATACAACACTCGTATTTTACAAGTTAGCATTTAGTGCACATTTATTATTTAACTGGTCAGACTTCAGCAAAACTTTTGTTTTACAGAGGAAATGGATATGAAAAGAGTACTGAGGAATAACAAATTCTCTCTGCTTAACTAGATTTTCTTTAAAAAAATTTTTTTTAAATGTTTATTTATTTTTGAGACAGAGACAGAGTGTGAACAGGGGACAGGCAGAGAGATAGAGAGGGAGACACAGAATCCGAAGCAGGCTCCAGGCTCCGAGCTGTCATCACAGAGCCCTATGCAGGGCTCAAACCCATGAACTGTGAGATCATGACCTGAGCTGAAGTCGGATGCTTAACCGACTGAGCCACCCAGGCGCCCCTTAACTAGATTTTCTTTAGAGAAGGCCACATAAGTGCATATGGATTAGCAAATCAACATCAGGTTTGTGCTGTAAGATAAATCCATTAATAAATCTATTATTGGATTTATATGGGTATTTAGATTCTTTTTCAAAAGACATTTTTCCATTTCTAGAAGTAACCTTTTTATATTTTTGAATTACATTACTTCAATCAATAGTAATCTTTACTTACAGCATAAATGAATTAGTGAAATTAACCCTTTATAATTAAAATCATTTTTTATATTTGAAAATGATTAAAATCGCTTGTCAATCACATTGCTCTAATCAAGTGCATAGGCTACACATAGAGGATTGTCTATAACTTTTTAAAAAAAGAATAAAAAATATTTGTTTTACATGGATTGAATAGTAATTTCAGTTAGTGTCTCCAGCCAGTATTTGATACACATATAACGTCCCAAATACCTGGGCACCAGGGTGGCTCAACTGGTTAAGCGACCGACTCTTGATATCGGTTCAGGTCCTGACCTTGCGGTTCATGAGATCCAGCCCTGTGTCAGGCTGTCGGGCTCTGACAGCTGAAGACTGCTTGAGATTCTCTCTCTGCCCCTCCCCTACTCGTGTGCACGCTCTCTCTTTCTCAAAATAAACAAATAAACTTAAAAAAACCAAAAACCAAAATGCTTTAATTCCAACAGTTAAATTCATTGTAGTCATTGTTTATTAATTTGATAAATGTCAGGGTGAGAGCAAATTTATGGTACTATAAGTAAGAAGAATGCATTAAATGGAACTAATATTAAAACCTGTCATCAGTTACCAAATCTCAAATATTTATGTCTCAACCTTGTAATGCAACCAAAGTGGAAAGTCAATAATTGTATTTATATGTATTTTGATTTATTACATATGAAAGTATAATTTCAAAACGTGACTAATTCTAACGTGAAATAATAATTAAGTCGTAGTTAATTAAAACAATGATAGTTGAAATTTAAGGATTGCAAGACTAAAAGTGAAATGAGCTTGGGCAGAGCTTTTTAAAAGAAGCATTATTAATGGGGGCACCCGGGTGGCTCAGTGGGTTAAGTGTCCGACTTTCGATCTTGACTCAGATCATGATCTCACAGTTCATGAGTTCCAGCTACGTGCATAGCCTGCTTGGCATTCTGTCTTTCTCAGTCTCTCTCCCTCCCCCTCCCCCACGCTCTCTGTCTCTCAAAATAAATAAATATGAAAAAAAATTAAAAAGCATTATTAATGGCATCTTTATGGGTCCATTACCTTCTTTTCGGTATAAACTGGAAAAATCAAATAATTTGAAATGTATATTTTTAAAACTTACTGTATTTCTTTTGTTCAACATGATGACTGTTTATTAAAACCTTTTTCCTCAGTCTTGTCCTTTTTTTCTATGCGTAGTTGATAGTTGACTTGTTTTCCTCAAATTTCAATGTGTCTAAAATTAGGCATATGATATTTCCCTCCAGATGGATACTCTTCTTCCCATTCCTATCTCTGTGTGATTTGAAAGTTTAGACCTACTTTGACTTCTCATCCCTTTCATTCACTCATTTTCTAAAGATCACTGTGTCTCACTGTGTCTTATCACATCTTCTTGGCTGTTGTCATTGTCTTCATCAACTCACCTGAATCCTGACACTGATATCCTAATGGTTTTTCTCCTCTTACTCTGTCTTTTTCAGTCCATCTTTTACACCTCCAAAAAATTTAGTTTTATTTATTGATTAAAAAAATTTTTTTAATGTGTATTTTTGGGAGAGAGAGATTGACAGAGTGTGAGCGGGGGAGGGGCAGAGAGAGAGGGAGACACAGAATCCCAAGCAGGCTCCAGGCTCTGAGCTGTCAGCACCAGAGCCTGTCGTGGGGTTCGAACTCACAGACCTGGAGGTCACGACCTGAGCCGAAGTCAGACGCTCAACCAACTGAGCCACTCAGGCGCCCCCAAAAATTTAGTTTTAAAACTATGTAGTTTGAATAAGACCGTGCTGAGAGTAAAATCTTCAAATAGTTAGATTCTGCACATGATTTCAGGTGTTTTGCTAGATCTACCCCTACTCCCCCATATAGAATCCCATCAGTGAATTCTTTTTTTTTTTTCCTCAACAGTCTTTGACGTTTGAATTCACTCTCGCACCACCTTCTCAAATGAACACTTTGTCCTACTTGCAAGGTCCCACACGGTACTCTTCAACTCCAGTCTAAGTCTTGTTCTAAGGGTGGATTTCTGCTGCTTAAACCTTTATTTTATGGAGGAGATAATGAGAGAAGAGAAAGAGAGAAACATGGGAAAGGATTCACAGAGTAGGTGACTCTCCTCTTCACTGCATTGGCCGTCCATTTTCTACCACATTTAATCTTGTCAGTCTCCAGATTTAGGACCTGTGTGTATAGTCAGATAAAATGACTCCCTTACTGTACAAAATGAGGTATTAATAGCATTCACAAATGGAGCACATGTGTTCTTAGAGCTACTCAAGAAGTTTCTAAGGGGTTCCATGTCTAGAGTGATTAACGTGATAAATTATTCGGATCTCAAATAAGGTAAGACTTGCCCTATCTGGGCTTCTGACATAGTGTCTGTAGCTGCCAAGTTTCCTCCTCGGGACCATGCGCATCCCAGGGTGGACAAGATGTTTAGCTTCAGATTCTCCATGTGTTTAGCTCCGGCTGTTGCCTGACCTGAATTGCAGCTCAGGGTCCCTCTTTGCCCAGTCTGGTTTTCTCTCTGTGTCTGTCTCTGTCTCTCTTTTTCTGTATCTCAGAGCAAAGTAAAGAAAACGTCATTAAAAAGCAGGAAGAGAGAAGTTTCTTATTTCTTCTAGGAAGTAAACTCATTTCAAGGTTCCATGAATTATCTATTTTATTTATCCTAGAGGCTTCACGATTTGCAAAAAATCAGCATGATGCAAGACATCCACCTGTCATGAGCTCCCCCCTGCATGTTTGCCATTCCCAAGGTCATCAGCACTTGGTAAGACTTTGGATCTCCATTGCAGACTTCAAATGATTTCGAGAGACAGGAAAAGGAGGCGTTCCATGTTAATTCTGACAGATCAGTGTTATTCCTTCAGATGGAAGCAACATAGACTAGAAATAAATCAGTTTTATTCTTGAAAATTTAGTCTTTGGACATATGTTTTCCATTAACTTTTCTAAGAGGACATATTTTTTCCATTAACTTTTCTAAGAGGTTACTGCAGACATTAAACCCACGTTTACTTTATATCTGGGTGCAAGTTTTCTGCTTGCTGTTCACCATCGACACTTTATGTAGCGCTGAATCCCTTCTGTGTACTTATTTGATTTCTATTAACCTAAGAGAATACACTGTGAATAATATTTAAATAATGCACTTAGCAACAACTATTAATACACTGTGCAGCCCCTCACTTACTCATGGACTGATGCTTTCCTGTGTTTTGCTGTTCATTTCTACAAGGTAGATTAAACTGCATTCATAAAAACTGAGCTGTTGCTTGTGAGCAGATAGGGGGCAGAATGTTCCCCAATGCAATCTTAAGTGTAATGCTCCTGAACTTTAAAAACTTGGCTCCATTTGTTGGGGAGTAATTCTTCTTTTTCAGCTGATGATGTGCTGTTCTCATTCTGCCCAATGTATAATTAAAATGCATTTAGAGTCCAGTGGATAAAGTTTAAAGGAGGGAGATAGCAGTTTTATTTTAAAGTGCCAATATTTACCTTACCTCAGAAGTCCTTTGAGCTGATTTAAGTGTATGATAAAGAATTTTAGGTATTGGGGCTCCTGGATGGCTCAGTCGGTTGAGCATCCGACTTCAGCTCAGGTCGTGATCTCATGGTCTGTGAGTTCGAGCCCCGCGTCGGGCTCTGTGCTGACAGCTGGGAGCCTGGAACCTGCTTCAGATTGTGTCTCCTTCTCTCTCTGCCCCTCCCCTTGCTCACGCTCTGTCTCTCCCTCTCTCTTGAAGATAAATGAACATTAAAATAGTTAAAAAAAAAAAAGATTTTTCTATAAGAGAAGAAAAAAATTATAGCGGGTACAGTATATGGGGTCAAGATACTATTTAATATAAAGATAGCAGAGAATAAAACATGATTCTTTGCTAATAGCATGATCTTGTGGAGACAGGGCCATTGTTCAGGCTGGATGGAAGCCCATTGCTCTAGCAATCGTTCTCAAGCCTGAGGGCGCAGTAGAATCTTCCACAGGGCTTGTTAATTTACAGATTGCTGGGCTCTATTATGGAGTTTCAGATTCATAGGCCTGGAGGGAGTAGTATATTCAATCTGCATTCTTCACAAGTTGCCAGTGAGATGGCTGCTGCTGTTGCTGCTGGTCTGAGGGCCACTTTTTAAATTTTATTATTTTATTTTTATTTTATTTTAATTTAATGTTTATTTATTTATTTATTTAATTTTTTTTTCAACGTTTTTTATTTATTTTTGGGAGAGAGACAGAGCATGAACGGGGGAGGGGCAGAGAGAGAGGGAGACACAGAATCGGAAACAGGCTCCAGGCTCTGAGCCATCAGCCCAGAGCCCGACGCGGGGCTCGAACTCACGGACCGCGAGATCGTGACCTGGCTGAAGTCGGACGCTTAACCGACTGCGCCACCCAGGCGCCCCAATGTTTATTTATTTTTGAGACCGAGAGAGACAGAGTGTTAGCGGGGAAGGGGCAGAGAGAAAGGAAAACACAGAATTCGAAGCAGGCCCCAGGTTCCCAGCTGTCAGCACAGAGCCCGACGCGGGGCTTGAACTCATGAACCATGAGATCATGACCTGAGCTGAAGTTGGACGGCCAACCAACTGAGCCACCCAGGCGCCCCACGAGGGCCACTATTTTATAACTACTGTGCTGGAAGCGTAGCCTAGCACGATTTTCCTCCATAGTTACATCAGAGTATCAGAGGAATTAGCTCCAGATAATGAGGAAACTATGGCGGAAATTCACAGAAGGAATACAGAAGTATAGGGGATATTAGAGGATATTAGAGGAGGTGATTTGGGATAGTTCACTCATTCATAGTAACAAGAAAAGGCGAAGTGTATGGGCACAGCTAGAAGGAGAGATGAGATGGGGTGGTAAGACGTTGTGGAAATTCTGATTTCAACAGGGAGCAAACCATCATCTGAGGGCAAGGAGAGGAAAGGAGATGTTGGAACTTTTGAGGACAGCATACAAGTGTAAAAACAGTGGAGGGTCTGGTTGATTCCCTCAAGTAGACAACCTTGTGTTCCTAAAACAACCACATCACGTTTGTTCATCTGACACGGAAAGAAACAGATTTCAGTGAGTCACTGGTTTTTAACTTAACAAGTCTTATTTCTTTCAGATGGATTTAAGCATTTAAATTCAATAGGCTTTTTATTTCCCATTTTGCATTATCTCTGCCTTCTCAGCATTAGAGCAAAGAAAACCTTTGTGTTTTGTTTTGTTTTGCCTTTTCTGCATCACACTTTGCGCTGTGTTTGGGTTTCGCAGTAGGTTGTAGGAAGTGAGTTATTTTCAGCATCATAAAATGCTGTGTTTCAAAGGTACAAACATTTCCGAAGCGTAGCTGGGTAATTCCAGATTCACTAAGATTTTGAGGTTAAAAGCAGTGTCACCACATTATCAATGCACCATTTTGCTTATTACTATTTATAACCCATACGTTTCCGTTTGCAAGTTGAAATCAACTACCAAAACGTATGAAGGAAACTTCAATAGTTCATCTTAAAGAAGCTTTGGCTATAGGTTATTCTAAGTAATCAAATGAGTAAATTACTGCAAGTGGCTATTTCCACTATTTGTCTATTTCCTGTGCTCCTCAAATAGTTTCCAGATAATCCTTCTCTCTAGAAGTATGTTAATTTTAACTCTTCATGCTGACTATTTAACACAAGGCAACATAATTACAGGTGATACGCATTGCATTAGTCTCTCACTTCTTGCTGATGCCTCTGTTTGAACTAATGGGTGACACGCTACCTCGTGGGTAGATATATAAATTGTGAATTTAGTAAAAGTTGAACTATAAATTTAACAAAGTAGGAAGTGGTTCCTGAGACTATACCAAATAACCCTTGTTATATGACATATCACCACAAAATTTGGCGGCTGAGAAACAAGTCTTTATGGGACTGGGGTGGGGGGGTGGAATTTGGGGTTGAGCTCACTGGGTCTGGCTGCCTGTGTGTTGGTTGCGTTTATCTACGTGGCTACAGTCGGCAGCCAGTTTGGCTAGATGATGGCTGGCTGGCTTGTTTCTGTTCCTTCCTGGTCTTTGATTTACCGCCCAGCCAGAGCTGAGCCCAGGGACTTGAGGAACCTTCCAAGACAAAGAACACAGCGTAAGAGGTCTTTGGAGGGCCAGGCTTGTGACTGGCAACATCACTCTGACACAACTGAAAGGTCAAAGCAAGTCACAAGACCAGCAGACATTTAAGAAATTCTACCTTTTGTTAGGAGGCGCTGAAAAGTCATTGCACAGGAGCTTGTATTCAGGCAGGTGACTAATGTTGATTAATTGTGTAAAACTCTACCAGAGTGACAAATCAATCCAGTGGAAGTGACAGTGTAATGGTTAGAAATGGGCAAGTAGGGGCGCCTGAGTGGCTGAGTCCGGTAAGTGTCCGACTTAGGCTCAGGTCACGATCTCACTGTTTGTGGGTTCGAGCCCCACGTCAGGCTCTGTGCTGACAGCTCAGAGCCTGGAGCCTGCTTCAGACTCTGTGTCTCCCTCTCTCTCTGCCCCTCCCCCTCTCACTCTCAAAAATAAATAAACATTAAAAAAAAAAGAAATGGGCAAGAGAAAAGACGGTGGAGAAAAGATAGTAGGGGATCTAGGTGAAGAAACAGAAGTCACGTGTGTTAGCCAACACAGGAGGATGTTTGGTATTTTTGTTTGCACCGTGACTTTAGCTCATGCCTAGACAAATATGGTATGCATAATACACTTGATTTATTACAAATGAGTTTTAGGTTCCAGGTCATGAAGGCGTTATTACATGACCCAGGAAATAGTTTCTTATTATTCCCCTTAAAACTATTTGCTGTTTATCTTGTATGACTATATTCCCTTTAACCACTGCCGATCGATACCCTCCGTGAAGGGCACGTGGGTGGCTCAGTAAGTTAAGCCTCCTACTCTTGGCTTCTGCTCAGGTCATGATCTTACAATTCATGGGTTTGAGCCCCTCTTTGGGCTGATGGCACGGAGCCTGCTTGGGATTCTCTCTCTCCCTCTCTCTGCCCCTTGAGCTCATTCTCTCTCTCTTTCTCTCAAAAATAAGCATTAAAAAAATATCCTTGGTTAAAGCATTTAGAAAATTAAGATTTTCAATGTTTACAGGAATAAGTTGCATTACATTAGGATTACTTTATATGTAGTTTTATACCATGGTCTTAAAATGAGCTTTTTAAGCATTTTATCATGTAAAAGAGATTTGTTAGATCACATCTCAACAAGACACTAAATCAATGTGTAAGTCCCATATAGAGCTTTAGGAGTGATCCTTTAAAATTTCTTAAAAACGGTCTCTAAGTGGGACAAATGACTATTCATAAGTCTTCCCCGCTCCCACATTGCTATTTTCATCTAATCAGGGAATATTTAAACATATTGATCACAGAAATGGCAGAAAGCAAGACTAAAATAGCCCTGTAGGTGGCAGTCAAACTCTGAATAATGAATTAAAAAATTTCTGCTTATTACAGGTGATTGCTATCCTTGGAAAGTACTCTGAGTTTTAAAAAGCCAACATACTTTACAATTCTCATTATTTTGCAATATGTCTGAATTATTAAACCACAGTCATTTCAGAGGCACTGTATAAGAACTTCGGAAAACTCAAAATGAGAAGTATGACATATAATAGGATAGTACTTCTAAGTCAATTGGATTAGAAATATGTTTGTTACAATTCTAATTTATGAGTTATAGACATTTAAAGTAATGTAACAAGGGGCGCCTGGGTGGCTCAGTCGGTTGAGTCCGACTTCAGCTCAGGTCATGATCTCATGGTTCATGGGCTCGAGCCCCGCGTTGGGTTCTGTGCTAACAGCTCAGAGCCTGGAGCCTGCTTCGGATTCTGTGTCTCCCCCTCTCTCTGCCCCTCCCCTGTTCGCGCTTTGTCTCTCTCTCAAAAATAAATGAACGTTGAAAAATTTTTTAAAGTAATGTAACAGTAGAAAAATAATCTATTTTACTTAATATTTATCAAATAAAGAATATGTAAAAAATAATGTCTTTTCTCTTCATAGCAGTAAGCAGAAGTAGTCACTTTGCTGCTTTAGAGAGGCATTGCCTTAACTTGCACCCTTATGTGTTTATAAGAGGCTAGTTACTGCTTTATGTTACTCAGAATGATAGGACTATCTTCTTCCAATATTCATATCTTAAAGAAAAGAATATACAATTTGTATTTGAAAGTACATTGATAACTTGGTATGTGTTACCTATTACATAATAAAGGTGGATCAAAGGAGGAAATTAGTTATTGAAACTATATAGAAAAATCTATTTAATTTCTCAAAAAATTAAAACCTTCAACAATGTAAATAACCTGAACACCGACCAATCAGAAGTGATGCTGGCTAAAAACAACACGCATGGGCCTATGGGTGTGTACCAGCCTAAGCTCACTCAGGTATTATTATATCTTTTGGAGATTCTGAAAATAGGGCTGCCTATTTTCCAAATAACCATTAAAGCTAGAATCTAGGTTGATCTGACATTACTCTTATTATCTTGCTATGAAATTTAGAGGAGTACATAATACTATGTACTTATGTGCAACAATGGATTTTGCTGCTGTGGTTGCAGAAGTAGAATTAAATGAACTAAAGGACTTTATATAAACAAACTGATCAAATGAC